GCCCAGCCGACGGAGAAGGCGCGGCAGCAGGAGAGACGAAGCCCACCTGGGCAAGTGGGCGAGCTGGCGTTGCCCACGGGACGTGTTCTTCCTCACGATCTTGGGTTCTCCCCCCTCCCCCCTTTGCTTCTCCCAGGCCCACTTACCCGGGGGTGCCCGTTCGGGTTTCTAAATGCGTGTTTTATGCAGCTGTTATTGAACTCCAGTTCCCAGCATCCCCACCTAGAAGGGCCAATGGTGAGCGAGGCTGGGAGTTGTAGTTCAGCAGTCTCTGGAGGGCCACGGTCCCGTCCCCCCCCCAATCAACTATCTGGCCCTTCTCTCTCTTTCTGCCCATCTCTGTTTCCGTCTCCTTTTCCTCCGTAGTTCCTTTATGTTCTTTCGGATACTGTACGCTCTTCCCGGCAAGGACCGGTAAATTGTCTTCCGTTAAATACCTTGCGTCGTTGTATCCGGAATGAATGATTCTCAAATACAGCATATACGTAGTTTTCATAGATTCGTATACTTATACTGTACACACACACACACACACACTTTTTAGTTGATTAAAGGCTCCACCTCCCACCCCGCACCCCTTCACCTCGATTAGAACCCTAGTTTCAACGAGTCAACTCAAAGACAATCTGCAGGCATGGGAGGTTTTTATCGGGCACAAATTAGGAGTAAAACTACATCAACTCCCGGCGCCCACACGGAGCCACACTTTCCCCTCCCCATCTGCCTCTTTCTTTGCTTTCGCGTTGCCTTCTTCTTCCTTGAGAACTCTGGACCGGACCTTAACGAAGATTGAACTCTTGTTTTCTCGCTCAACTCTGTCCAACTGGAGGTATGTCCTGGATGCGGATTCCCGAGTCTGGGCGTCTCGACCATGCAGGGGAGGAACGGAGAGTTGGGGAAGAGAGAAATGCAAAGCGCTGTCCAGGGTGCTTAATTTTAGACGGGGTGCCTCTGTGCGAGTCTGACGGCGTTTCCGCCAGACCGGAGGCCCGCGAGTTTCTCTCTCTCCCCAACCTCTCTTCACACGCATATACATACAAACACACAAATTATATACACTGGGGGGAAAAAGAGGGAAGGAGTGTGTTGGTGTGTGCCTCTTTACACGCACACGACGTGGAAACCTCGGAAGTCCAAAGGTGTTCCCGCCTGCCTTGCGCGCTTCTTTGTCCAGAAGGGATCCAGGGATAGCTCGCTTCTCTTTGGTCCCGTCCCTTCTTGCAAGGGAGCCCAACCCGCTTTCCCTCCGCGGCGTGGGCCTCTCCGAAAGAGCAGCCAGGCTCCAGGGGGAAACGAGCTGGCTCAGCCCCAGACGCCGCTCTCTTTTCCTCCCTTTATAATCGGATTAGCCGGGAAAGGAAGACCCGCCGCATTCCACTCGCGCTGCCGCTCGCAACACGCTTCCTGAACGGAGCCAAAGCTGGCAGCGCCACCGGCTTGCAGAAACGGCAACCGAGGCGGCTATTTCCCCTGGATCGGGCCCCGCCTCGTTCCTTGCCTTCCCCCCCCCTCTTCTCTCCCACCACCACCACCACCACGAAGGCCCGCTTGGCCCTTTGGCTGCTCCGAAAGGGGTGTGGCCAGAGAAGGACGGCGTCTCGCGGAGGGTTGTGCTGGGAGATTCCGGAGTGCTGGGCCTGGTTAGCTTTTGGATGGGAGGCCACCAGGGAATCCCACGACTGTAGATTGCAATGGGAGGGAGGGGGAGGAACATCAGGGGAAAAAAACATCGCTTTGTACGTTAGTACAAAGAAAACTGTCTGGTCGTGTAATCCAGCAATGGGATTTTCTTTTGGATGCCTATAAAAATCTGGAGAAAGAATAATTGCCTCGTTGCTATTTTTTTTAAAAGACAGGCGTTTAAGTAGAAGCGTTTTCCCCATCTTCCAGCCATTTCGAAATGCCATTTCCTTGCTTGACAATTAATGTCACCTCTCTTTTATTCCTTTTTGTGTTTGTTTGTTTGTTTTACCTCCACGCATGATTGCCGTGCGGTTCGCCGTGGAAGAAGGGTGTGTTTTGGTCGTGATCGGGGTTTAAAAATATTGTTGAACGAATAAATATATAAAATAAATAAATAAAAAATAAACCAGGGGCCCCTGTTGTTCATTATGAGTTTTCCCCAAAAATTATACTTGAATATATTTTTAAAATGGAAACCTCCTTCGGGAATTGCTACATCGCCTCCAACCCCTGCCCTGCAAGAAGTAGGAAGCGCTCGATAACACAGAGAAACCAAATTTTCGCTAGGGCTTTCCTTGCTTCGGGATGGAGGGCTTGAAGCGGGATTCCCGGATAAGCGAGAGAAAGCAGAAAGGCTATGATCTGAGGGTCAAAAATGGGCCTTTGCTATGTCTGAGACTTGTTCTATAGAAGCCGGCCTCCTTTCAAAGAGAGAGAAGGCTGGGCCGGAGTCTTTTTCAGCCACGCTCTCCTTGCAGGCGAAAGTGGCCATGGAGACCTTGAATTTCCTTCCGCCTATCCCCAGAACCTGCCGCCGCCGCCGCCGCCAGGAAAAGTGGGCAGGGTATGAAACCGAGGCGCCCCTTCAGCAGTCCCTCTTGAGTCTGCTCAGAAGCCAAGGGAACCAGCAGAAGCAGGTCGCCTGACCCTGTCCGGCTTCCAGTCAAGTCCCAGGATATTTTATTCGCCCAACCAGCTCAGGATTGAGAAACACTTGATTTCAGTTCCAAATGCAAAGGTGGTATTAAAAATCAGTTTGTTCCTTTTCAGAAGAACATTTGCTTTTGATATAATTATCAAATTATTTTTGATCGTCGTAACAACAACGGTTATTCTGAGAAGGACCGAACGGACTGTGTGTTTCAATATATAAATAAATAGTTTTTTTAAAAAATAATCCTTAATTAAAACATCCTACCATTGGAAAATTGTGTTGCTGCTGTTTAAAAACAACAACCCAAATAGTCTTAAATATTAAGAAACACACATTAGGAGATGAAATGGGTTGTTTTCCTTTTGAGCTCTTCTAGAAAAGCCGATTCAAAGGGGAAGAAAAGACCTGGAGGAATGGACGGGGAAAATAAGGAAGGGCGAAAGTAATATTGCAGCCTTTTCTGTGCAATAAGCCCAATAAACTCCACAGGTCTGTTTGCATTTACTGTTGCCACTTAAATTATTCAGTGTGTTGCGGTAATTGAATCCTAAGCTTTAAAAACTAATATACTCCCTCCTTGTCACCGCTTTTCTGAATCATGAAATCCGCCCTAACAGGTGCTGATCAAATACTATTACATTCTATTAAAAAGAAAATTCTATTCCCTGTTTTCATTTCCCTTTATAAAGGGGAAACTAAGTAAATGCATTTGAACGTTATTTAATTTTTAACGCTTTTAGTCCAATTTGGACGTTAGGGAGCATCTCCAAACTCACAAAACCCAGGCAGCGTGGCAATAAATTGGGTTGACATAAATTAATCCAAAACGGAATCTCTTTTTAGGGTGCTCCCTTTCTCCCCTCCCCCCAGCTTTTGCGATCCACGGGCTGACCCAAGCAAAGGCCAACTAACCCCACCGAAGGAAAAGTGAACCCCCCCCCCTTTTTAAAAAGAGGCAGAAAGAATTGGGAATGTAAAAAAAATAATAACAATAATAGCCACAGAAAACCAATGTCCTGACCAGGGTGTAATGAAAGCAGATTAAAAAAAGAAAGCATCCAGGAAATGGTGTGTGTTTTTTTTAATGCAGGCTAGTCTGTATTCAAGCAGACTAAGGGGAAGTACTTGGCGATATTTTTTTGGGGGGGGGAGGGCGAGAATGGAAAGGGGATAGACCTCTTTCCTGTTTCTTCAGGAAAACGCTCACAATTGTTATGGACCGTTGCAATCTGTTGGATACTTTGGGTATCTGCATACATGCACCCGCACTTATGCACATCTGTATATGGGTGTATTCCAGCCCGTTTTGTGTAACTTTAGAAAACCCTAATTCTAAAGTCAATCCCCATTATCAAATGCAATCTGCGGTTGGCAATGAATGTCTGCTCTCCAGGCCACCCAAGGCAGGTTTTCTCGGAGCTCCAAATTGGATTTCTAGCCCTGGAAAGTCTTGTTGGGCTTGTCGTTTTAAGACGGGCCAGAAAGAAAGAAAGAAAGCATAAAGGACTTTGAGTGTGTGACTGTAGAAGGAGAAGGTTGGGTTTCAAATTCAGGCTCTGGGCTTTTTTCATTCCAGGCCCACCAGCAGCAGCAGGAATATCTGTTCCAAGTGTAACTGGGCAGTTCCAAATTCGGGCGGAGCGTCCCCAAGGCATTTGGTGCCTCCACTTGGTGCCTTTCTGGAGGGGGGGGGCTTCCTTTCAGCAGGTGTGTTTTTAAAAAAAAAAATCCAAAAAAAATTTTGGGGGGTCCCCCCCTTAATCCCCCCCGCGGGGGGGGGGGGGGGGGGGGGGGGGCGAGGCTCCACATCCTCACCAGCTTGGAATTCTGCTCAACTCGCCCCTTTGGTTAATGATTCGGGCGAGTGGAAGGGAGGGAGGGAGGGAGGGGCTCGCCTGGGTAATTGCAAAGGTTTGTTCAATTTCATCTGGCTAATTTCGAAAGACAACCGTCGCAGATGCGCATTGCAATATCCGCCCCACATTAGCTTAGCTAATAAATTTGACCTATTGTGCGTTTGTTAAAATGATGTCACCATGGAACAGTCCCTAAGCTCCTATTCCAATGAATTAGGCCTTTATTGAAACCCGGGAGCCAATGGGAGGAGAGAGGCTTGTTTGTTGTGGCCAATGGCAGCTGTCGGAGAGAAATTAGAAGCAGAAACTGAAGGTTTGGTTCAAAAAAGATGACACAGAGTCTGTCGGGCTGGACCACTCTTGGCAAAGTTTCAGTGTGACATCTATACAAACCAGGACCTTACATGGATCTACTGTAAAAAGGAAGGGAGCGTTTTTATAGGGGAAATTCTTGCCGGGGTTTTTTTTTTCCTCTCCCTCTCTCCCCTCTCCCCCCCGATTGAGCCAATATTTTCTATTCACCAAGGATGGATCAGCCAACGAACACGCAGACACCGCATCAACACGAGCCCATCAGCTTCGGGATTGATCAGATTTTAAATAGTTCTGATCAGGAGACCCCTTCCCAGCCCGCCCCCCGAGGATCAGACGGCGGCACCAATTACCTGGGCAGCCCCGTGAGCAGCAGAAGCGGCGGCCCGTACCCTTCCCTCCCCGGCGCCTTTGCTGGCATCGGGGCTCCCTTCGAAGACTCTGGATCTTACAGTGTGAATCTCAGCTTGGCTCCATCTGGCGTGATCCGGGTGCCAGCGCACAGACCCATCCCTGGGGCAGTGCCACCTCCAATTTCCAGTGCCATCCCAGCCATGCCAGCTGTACCCAGCCTTGGCAGCCTCAACTTCCCTTGGATGGAGAGCAGCAGGCGGTTCGTCAAAGACAGATTCACAGGTAAGTGGAGGCGGCGGCGGCGGCGGCGGCCGGGCTGGCGAGCGATCTCAGGTAGACGGTCGGTGAGGTTGGGACTCCTGCGCGGAGGAGCAGGCGGGCGCGAGAGAGAAATTGGCTCTTTCACGGTCTTTCTCCGGCGGAGAAAGGAGAGAACGGTTGTGTAAAAAGCCGAAAACAATATAAGGCGCGTGATGCTAGGAAAATTGGCCGACCGGCCATTCTGCCGGCTTTCCTAATTTTTTCCTTTTCCCTGGCCAATTGCTGAGCATATCCAGGCGTGAAAAGTGGGATCTGTTTGGGTGGTCCTGTTTCAGGACGACAAAAGGGATTGTTTTGAGTTCTTCCGGAGATCGAGTGATCTTTCCTCCCCCCCCCCGCCCCCAAAAAACTAACACGATCAAGGGAGGAAACCTTAAATCTCGCCGTACTCAGAATAAAGAAATCCTCGATACGATTTTCTCAGGCCTGTCGTGGAAGGGCGAAGGAAGGCGAGTAAATGGCTGTGTCTAATCCGATTACAGCATTAGCACTAAGAGATGGGCGAGGACGATAAAGAGAACAAAAGAAATTTATGAAGATTTAAGTACTTCCAATGAAAACAGGATTAAGCCAATTAGGACGGGGGAAGCAGGGGGTTAAGTGGATAAGGTTAGCTTCACCTTGCAAAGCGGCTAATCAGACCACAAGTTCTGAGTGTGCTGTGTCACTTCAACACAATTTACATTTGTGGGTAAAAGGGAGAAGTTACTATCAATAACTTCCATGGTATGTATTTTTTCCAAGAAGAAAATATACGGGAAATCCCTAAACCCTTTATTATATTATTATAATATTATAATAAAGGATATTATATAATTATTTTATTTTATATTATGTTATATCATTTTATATTATAATTATTCAGAAGAAATATGCATAATAGCTAGGATGGATTTGTAGACACCTTTAGAATTACTGGATGAGTTCGATTTTCCGCTGCAGGAACCAACTATTTTTCTTCCCTCTGCAATATACTTTATACTCCGAGGCGTGGGACACCAGAAAACAAACGAAACAAAAACAAAGCAGGCAAAACGCGATTAGGTGGCCTTCTTTTCCCTTTTCGGAGGCTGGAGAGGAGAACTTTTCCGTCTCAAGCTGGCCCCTCTTCATTTCCCATGGCCCCAAAGCCTCCGTTTGGCTTTGCCCTTGGAGCTCGAGATCATCGCTCTATTTTTTAATTTAAAATTAATAAATACGGGTTTCTGTTTTCATATTACCCCGATTTTTCTGCGGCACAGCCTCTAGGATTAGACACACACACACACACACAGAGAGAGAGTCAGTCTTCCATATTGTAGGTCTTTAATCGATTCGGAATTGCTTCGCTTCCCTCCCCAACAGCACCACCAGCCGGGCTGACACAAGGGGCGGGACAAGCCACCCCTTTCGCCCCCCGCCCGAGCACATGGTGTCGGCGGGGGCGGGCGGGGGGAGGGCTGTCACCTGCCACCGAGCATCCAGCCCCTCCGCCCAACCCAGCCCCCCCACCTCTTCCCAGCCGTGGGTGCTGCGGGCCGCGGGGCTTTCCGAGAGGCTGCTCCGGGTCACTCCCCGAGTCCTTGCCTCTCCAGAGTCACTCGCTGGCCGCCTTAAAGGGGGCTCAGGAGAAAGCAGCCAGCGACCCTGCCGCCTCCAGCGGCTACAGGTTTAAGGACCCCCCCTCTTGGGCCGGCGCCACTCTCCATTCCCCCACCCACCCCAAATCCGGCGCCCAGCCTGGCTGACCCGGTGTCCCTTTCTGTCGCAGCAGCGGCGGCGCTCACGCCTTTCACGGTGACGCGGAGGATCGGGCACCCCTACCAGAACCGCACTCCGCCCAAGCGCAAGAAGCCGCGCACCTCCTTCTCTCGGGTGCAGATCTGCGAGCTGGAAAAACGGTTCCACCGGCAAAAGTACCTGGCCTCGGCCGAGAGGGCGGCGCTCGCCAAGTCGCTCAAGATGACCGACGCCCAAGTCAAGACCTGGTTTCAGAACCGCAGGACCAAGTGGCGGTGAGTCCCGCGGACGCTGGGCCTGGGATCTACCGGGGTGAGGGTGGGGTGTGTGTGTGTGTGTGTGTCGCCGAACAGGGGGAGCGGGTTGGGCCTTCTCGGCTTCCTCCTCCTTTCGCTCCCTTTGCAATCCTCGTGTAGACGCGACACAAGGCCTGGCACCTTTTGGGAACACTTTAGGCCTGGCCCATGGTCCACTCTTTAGGGCAACCCGTTTGGGAGCCGGGTTTGCCCCACCTCCTCCTCTTCCTCCTCCTCCTCGCATTGGATCCTCGGAGCGCAGTGGCCTAAAAAAAAACCTGCTTGGCCGGAAGGGTGTCTTGCGGAGCTGAGCAAAGGGTCGCTTTAGTACAACGGCCGGTTTGGGTTGTTGGGTGGATGATCCCACAAGATCATCCCATCCAGAGTTAGGTGATGCCAGGCAATCACGAGCACTTCAGTATAAACCACGTTCACAGAAACCGCGGCTTACTTAGCGCGCCGAGCCCGCGAATCACGGGAAACATTCTCTTAGGATACCCTCCAAGCCTGGTGCGCCGAATCCCCTCACCTTCCTCCCTCCCTCCCTCCCTGGGAGCCTTAGTGAGGCAGTAAAAGAAAAGGGCCTCGGAAAGAGGCTTCTGGAAACCACGGCGAGGCTGACCCAAAGTCGGGCCGCGGGCCTTTTGCAGGCCCAGATGCGCGTTTGCTTGGACCTCTGCGGGCCCAAGAAGCACAGAGGGGCGGCGGGCAGCGAAAGCCCGTTTGCTTTTCGACTGAGGATGAAAGGTTTGGTGGCTCCTACGGATCAAACCGTCCTTAAGCGCAGGGCGTGTAATACCAGGTTGCCCCTCTGGATGAGCGTTGGCTTTTCAAGGCTTGGGGGGGGGGGGGTCTCGGGAGGGGAAGTTGAGGGAGGAAAAAGACGGCGTCCATGCGGGATGCCCAGGGCAGTTCTTGAATCTGACCCGCACAACCTCACCATAGGAAGTGCTACCACCAAGCAAGCTTGGCACAAACGGAGCAGGTGCGTTTAGTGGGATCCGGAGCGGCCTCGGTTGAGCGCGCAGCGTAAAGACCGGCTTAAAGACGAATGCTTAAAAAAATAAAATAAAATCCCCCCTTCGGAGATCAGCGAGCCACTCCCGGCTGAGAATCGATCTTCCCTAACATTTAACGGGCCTCTCCTGAATCCGAGGCAGAACAAAGCTGCCGTTGTTCCGTTTCAGGGGCCCGGAGGCCTAGCTGCCCGTGGAGAAGCTGGGAGGCTGGGGGCCAACAGGCCTGTTGTGGGTGGCTCCCTGCCCCCGAGTATCTTTCTTACTTGATCCGGCTCCCTCGGTTCTTCTCCGCGCCCTCCAGAGAGAAAGGATCGGGGGTGCAGAACCTGCGCGAACGTGAAACCCGTGTCGAGAGGAGAGACGTTCCTTGTCCACCCATCGTTTTTTCTAACCCGTTTTCTCCCAAGGCAAAGGGGGGGGGGAGGCAAGCCCTCGCCCGACCCAGCGTTGCCAATTCCCAAATGGCCAATCTCCAGCTTGGTGGTAATAATAATAATAATAATATCTTGCGACGATATCCTTAACACCATTAACCCACAAACACCTGCCTATCACGGGTTATCGGGAAGGACTCGATAGGTGGACAAAAAGGGCCAAACCCAGTTTAAATACCTGGCTTGACTGCGCGACGAACTATCACAATAATTTAATTAAACTTATTTTATCTGCCGCAGCGACTCTGGCCCAGCAACTTTCCCAAAGCCACGAAAAGTTAGAGCGCTGTCTTCGGCTATTGTTCCTCGGCTGGAAGGCGTCGGTCCCGGACGGGAGTTGAAAAAAAAACCCACTATCTTTTCCCTGAGGTTTTCCAGCAAGTGCAATCCCAGGCGAAGCGATTTCAACGATTTTGCGGCCTTTTGACTTCGTGGGCTCCGCTTTCCCAAGTCTTTTTCTCCAGAGCCTGAGGATCCCAGCCTGCAAAGGAGTGGGAAGGCTCTGGATCCCTCTCGCGAGGGCCTTTTTGTCCACGTCTGCAGCGGAATCTCCCCAAACAGCAAGCCCCTATTGCCTCCCCCATCTCAGCCCGGTCCAGTTGCAAAGCCGCCGCTGTTTTTGTTTCTGTTTTGTTGTGTACTGCGGAAAAGTCCTTTTCTCGTGTTTCGGCTGAAATCTCGGATGAAGTAAAAGCCAAGAAGGATAAAACGGGCGCATGCGAATTATTGCTGTCGATAGATAATGCAATACCATTACTCTCCCCTTATGCTAATATTTCCTTTAATATTACATGAAATGCTAACGCTGTTAAGCTTCTACTAATGCGGGTTTTGCTTTTATGTACTTATGCCTCGTTTGCTCCGATGCCGTTTTTGGTTTACCCATCTCCATTCCTGGCCCAATTCTCTGGCCAAAATCCAGAAGGGCCCTGAGCAGCTGCGACTTTGCGGGGACGACCCAGGCGGCGTTTCCACTCGAAACCTGCTTGGATCAAACTCTTCTCGGCGGGTTTCTACAGAATCCACTTCTTTAGTTCTTCTTGGCTTCCGGAGTTTTTTCTTTCTGTGTCTTTTGGGCGATTTTTGACTTCGCCTTTCTCCCCGCCCCCCGCCACCTGCTCTATGTGTATATCGGTGTTTTTTTTCTTTTTTTCTTTTCTGAACTTACTTTTCTTCTTGCAGACGTTGCATTACCAGACGAGGGAACGCCATCAGTGCTCTCCCCTGGGAAGTAGGGTTGGTGACTGCTTGTCTACGTAGCAATTTGCCCTACCGGCGCGTGCATGCATTTTATTCGGTGTATAAAGCCGTCTAACCGCAATGCCTTTGTGTATCCAAGTCGGTTTCACTAACTTACAGAAGCCGAGGACAGGGATTAGTTCGGCTCAGGTGTAATTGGCAGGCTTCAATCTCAGAAGTGAACGGGTGCGTGCATCCTGTAGCGTTCAGAAAAAGCGCAAGCCGCTCAAGAGACGGAGGATCGGGGCGGGAAAGGAAGGAGCCGCAAATCACGCGAACCTTTCCCCCCGACCGTCGTCGGAAGTCGACCCGAAAAATGGGCGTTAGCAACCCAGGGCCCAAGTAATCACGAGGCCTCGTTTACGAACCATTTAGAAATAGGGGAGAAGAGGCATTCAGGTAACTCTCTCGTTCGTTTCCCACGTCCTTCCTCAGCAACAGTTCTCACGGCCGGTCTTTGCGAGCCTCCGATCGGGTTTTAGACAGTCGCGGGGATAAAAAAAAATAAAAATCGTCGGGTCGATTTTGCTGGCCTGATTGGGAATCGGAAGACAAACGTGTTCGAAAACCAGCTTGCCCCTCTCCCGTTTTTCGGTCGGTGGTTCTATTTTCGGACTTCGTTCTCTTCTGCGGAACCCTTGTTTAATTTTAGTCCAGCTTCTGGTCTACCTTGGAAAATCTGTTTTACCCTCCGGTTTCATTTTTGGCAGATCCACGCATTTATTTTATTTTTTTGGGGGGGTCGAATTCGGTCAGGCTGGCGCAAAGGTGGGGAGAAGAACAAGAACCTCGGGAAAGCGGATCGGGCCTGGCGGTCCTCGGGGCTCCGAGTCTGAAGGGAGGCCCTCCGAAGCCGCTCCGTCCCCCCTCCTCCTCCTCCTCGCCCAGGGCTAACAGCAATTGTGCCCAACGAAAGGGATCGGTCCATGGCCAAGTAAATATACCACGGTTGTCTCGCGTGACCCCGATCCTCAAATCGCTCATTTGTCTCTGATGGCAGAAAAAAAAACCGGTTTACTACTACTACTACTACTACTACTACTACTACTACTACTACTACTACTACTATTATTATTATTATTATTATTATTATTATTATTATTATTATTATTATTATTATTATTTATTTTTATTATTATTATTTTTATCATCATCATCATCATCATCATCATCATCATCATCATCATCATCATCATTATTTCTCGCCTTTCTGAGAACCCTGTAAGGAAACTGCGACGAATATGATGCAGCAGCATTCCCACAAAATTGAAAGCCCCCGGGGTTTGGTTTGGAAAAAGCCAGTTTTCGACATTTTTCCCCCCACTCCTGCCTACGCGAACACGCCGCTTTCAGTCCCAGCCTTCGTTGTTTTGATCCGGGACGGAACGTCTAGGTTTGCTTCCCGCCAGGGAAAGGGTTCTTGGGGACAGGAGGCTTTTAACGTCCGATTCAAAACCCGTGTTTTTTGTTTTCATATGCGCATGTATTTATGTATGTGCGTGTGTCTATGCATGCGTGTATGTAAACACAAACACACACTGCCCTTTTCGTGTTTATGCGTGCGCCGCACTACGGACAACCATTAAAACGTGATTAGATGAAAAAGGGACCCAAGAAAGGAATTGCCTTTCCCTCTTCTCCCCACAATCTTCTGATTGGATCCCAGGATTTTTTTAAAAAACAAAAAACCCTACGCGCCTTGCCTCAGTTTCCCAGGCCACCGAGACTTTACCTGAGAAATACTTTTCCGAGGTACACAAATTCGGGGAAGCCAGACTCATTACTATTATTATTATTATTATTATTATTATTATTATTATTATTATTATTATTATTATTATTATTATTATTATTATTATTATTAATTTATCATTATTATTTATCATTATTATTATCATTATTATTATCATTATTATCATTATCAAAAATGACAGTATACACAGCAAATGAGATGCTGGGTTTCGTATCACAAATCACTAGCCGAACACTTCCCAAGCGTTTAGGACTCCTCCTCCTCCTCCTCCTCCTCCTCTTCTTCTTCTTCAGAAGAAGAAAAAGAAGAAGAGTGGTAGGTTTTCATTTCCATTTTTTTTTTCGAGCGGAGTGGGGGAGGGGAGAGGACAAGATCGGATTGGAGGGAGGGTCGATGTACCAGCCAAGGAAACCTCAACAAAGGACGGTGGCGAACGACCGCGTCGATTTTGTTCACCGGCTTTTCGGGAAAGGGAATAAAATCGGATGCTCTCAGCAGCCGCCGCGATTTTTGTGCTTCTGCAGCGGAGAAACCCTGGGTCACTTTCGAAGTTTTATGGGCCAGGAACTAAAGCGCTCATTATTTCGGAAAGGGGGGGGGGAAACAACACCCGGCTTTCGCACACCATAGCTCGAGGAACTTTGGTTTATTAAAACTTCTTTTGATCATGCAGCTGAGTTTATTCCGCGGCCTTCTTTCGCACGACACTCTGATCCGTAAAACTATTCTCCTGGCTGCTTTGGTTTCTCTACGTTTCGGTTTTCATCCACCTTTGAATCGCCTTGAAGTTAGAAACCCTCGCGCAGGCCGGGCCTTAAAAGATTATAAAGTAAATCCGGGCCCCCTTTCCAGGTGTGCGAAAACGATCGCCCCCATCCCCAGGCCGTCACTACGAGGGGCCCCTGTGGACGGTTGGGTCCCATTGACCTAATGAGAATTCATCGACCCCCTCCCGGCCTCCACGGTGCCCTTCCCCCCCCCAGCTTCGGAAACTGGGGTGCGGGGAGGGGGAAAGTAACTTTCTCATCGCGAGTTTTCTGTTTCCTCGCCTAGCCTCCTCTTCCCCTCCTCCTCTTTCCCCTCCTCCTCCTCGTCTTCCCCTCCTTTTGCTCCTCCTCTTCCTCTTCCCTTCCTCCTCTTCCCCTCCTCCTCTTGCTCCTCCTCCTCCTCTTCCCCTCCCCCTCCCCCTCTTCCCCTCCTCTTCCTCCCCCTCCTCCTCCGCTTCCCCTCCTCTTCCTCCCCTCCTCCTCTTCCCCCTCCTCCTCTTCCTCTTCCCCTCCTCCTCCTCCTCTTCCCCTCCTCTTCCTCCTCTTCCCCTCCTCCTCCTCCTCTTCCCCTCCTCCTCCTCCTCTTGCTCCTCCTGTTCCTCTTCCCCTCCTCCTCCCTCTCTTCCCCTCCTCCTCCCTCTCTTCCCCTCCTCTTCCTCCTCTTCCCCTCCTCCTCCCTCTCTTCCCCTCCTCTTCCTCCTCTTCCCCTCCTCTTCCTCCTCTTCCCCTCCTCCTCCTCTTGCTCCTCTTGCCCTCCTCTTCCTCCCCTCCTCCTCTTCCTCCTCCTCCTCCTCTTGCTCCTCCCCCTCTTCCCCTCCTCTTCCTCCCCCTCCTCCTCCTGCACCTCCTGCTCCTCTTCCCCTCCTCTTCCCCCTCCTCCTCTTCCCCCTCCTCCTCCTCTTGCTCCTCCTCTTCCTCTCCTCCTCCTCTTCCCCTCCTCTTGCTCCTCCTCTTCCTCTTCCCCGCCTCCTCTTGCTCCTCCTCTTCCTCTTCCCCGCCTCCTCCTCTTCCTCTTCCTCTTCCCCTCCTCCTCTTGCTCCTCCTCTTCCTCTTCTCCGCCTCCTCCTCTTGCTCCTCTTGCTCCTCTTCCCCTTTTCCTCTTGCTCCTCCTCTTCCTGATCTCTGTGTTTGGCGTCCGCAGGAGGCAGACGGCGGAGGAGCGGGAAGCCGAGCGGCAACAGGCGAGCCGGCTGATGCTGCAACTTCAGCACGACGCCTTCCAGAAGTCGCTGAACGAGTCCATCCAGCCCGACCCGCTTTGTCTGCACAACTCCTCGCTCTTCGCGCTCCAGAACCTCCAGCCTTGGGAAGAGGAAGCCGCCAAGATCCCCCCCGTCACTTCCTTGGTGTAAAGAGGGTCGTCCGGGGCGGAGGGGCCCCGGGAGGAGAGGCAAGCGGCCCGCCCTCCGCCTCTCCCCGCATGACCCGAATACCGCAACGGAACGTGTGAATGGGGGGGTGGGGGCGCCTGGAAGAAGGGGGAGAGGAGAGGCCGCGTCTCACACACCCGTCTCGCTGCCCGGCTGGGCTCGGACCCGGGCGGGAGCCGTCTGGGGGTCCTCGGCGCGGCTGCGAGCATTGCGGGCGTGGGACGCTTCTCTCGGCCCGGGACCTCCGCCCTCGCCCTCCGGCTCCAGCAGTTTGGACGGAGCCCGGCCGCCGCGCCCCTTCCAGCTCCAGGCTTCCCCGGCAGCCAGAGCGAACTTCTCCAAGGTTCGTTGAAGGGAAAGGAGCCGAGACCCGCGGTGCTTTCGCCCGACTTTCGCCCCGTCGAGAAACGTGGCCATCGGACCCTTTGACCCCGGGCTGGGGAGGAGGCGTCAGGCTGCTCGAGAAGAAAGCGGAGACCGCTCGCTTTGTCTTCCTCCGGCGGGGTTTGCTGGGGGTGGGTGGGGAGGTTGAAGTGTGGGGGAAGACCTCGCCGGAGGTCCCCGTCCCCCCCCGCGAAGGCCTGTTTTCACCCGAGGACTCTGGAGGTGGCTGTCGCCTCGCCTCCCAATCCCGTCGCTTAGGGTCCATTCGGGGGGGTGGGGGAAAACGAAGGAGGAATAGAGAGTCACCTTTTTTTTTAAAGTATTATTATAATTTGTAAGAAATGTTAATAGTTTAATTTATTGAACGCACCAAGATGCCGCGCACTGTTAATATATGGAGGCAGGGGGAGAGAAAGACTGGATCTTGGGTTATTTATATGGAGACCAGAACAAACACAAAAAAGAAGTGTGTGTGTGTGTGTGAGAGAGAGAGAGAGAGAGAGCAAGCATGAGTGTTGTGTGTGTGTGTGTGTGCGCGTGTGTGAGGGGTAATTTTTGGCCAAGGCTGGCCTTTACCTTGGATGGTCAATCCCCTGGCTATCCTGCCCCCTGGAAATCATTCTGCAAAGGAGTATATATATAAATATATATATTTATTATCTTAAGGACAAACCTGCTGCAGTGAAAAAGCAAGCCACCTCCAGCTGTCCCCCCCCCCAAAAAAATCCTGCCAGTAATTTATTCAACATGGTAATAAGGGCTCCCCTTTCAAAGAAATCCCAACCTCTCTCTCTTGCAGGAAAATGAACATTAACGTGGAGTGGGGTTGTTGAGGGAGATGAAAGAGGGAAGGGAAGGAAGGAAGGAAGGAAAATAAAATTGGTTTTAAAAGCATCCTTGGCATGCTATAATGCCCATTGTCCGACCCAAACCCACTACAGAGAAAGCGCCTTATGTTTCATAATACTAATAATAATTATACTGACAATTAAAATAACTACTAAGGAAAGTTGGGGTTAATCCAGACCATGTATAATACTTTGTACTTGCTGAAATGTGTAAATAAATGTTTTCTTTAAAAATGTTCCTAGTCTGAGCTGTTAATGAATAAAGGCCCGAGGAAGCTACCTCTGGAGTGCCTTCATAGGTTCTGGACTTGAACTCCCATCAGTCTCAGCCATCCACCCCAGCCATCATGGCAAACTGCGAAGGACTATGGGAGCTGCTGCCCAAAGTGTTTGGAGAACAGCCACTTCCCTTTCTTGCCAACCACGGTCACTTTTACCATTGGTGGCGATGGTTCCAGGTAATGGGAGCTGGAGTTCATCAATGCCAAGGGAACCTATCTTTGAGTCTGCTGTAACTGGCAGCCGCTATCCAAGGCATGGTGGCAAAGGCTTTTTCCATCACCTTCTGTGCCTGGTATATACTTAGGAATAAACCTGGGACCTTACACAGGCTTATGATCTCTATGTCTCAAGATTTATGAGTGACCTAAACTCTTAAGCCGCTCTAGTTTTCCTCTTTTTCTGGAAAGAGGCAGAAGATTCTTCTGAGTCTTCCACAAACCTTTCTCACCTATGGCCTCTTCTGTAGAACTGAGCGTGAAAGACCAAACCAAGTTCCAACTTACTCCCAACTAAGTATTTGTCAATAAGCTGCAGTTGAAAGTGTTTGTCCTGACATGCGCCCACTGCAAGACATCGTGCTGTTTGAGATAAATAAGGAGAATCCATGAACAAAAGCCTGATAAGGATGTCAAGTAAATGATAACTCATGCTGAGGATGGGCTATAAGCTTCTATAGCAGCTGGCTTTGATGAAGGGGATGATGCAGGATGGACCATGAAGTTTGGCAAACCTTAGTCTGCCCCTGGTTCCAGTAGCTTATCATTGCTTCCTTGTTCCCTTGTTCCATATGACGATTCAGTCTGATTAATCAAACAGCCTAAGGAGCCTTTCTCACATATGCTGCCAGCCCTTGGTGTCATTTTCCTAAGTTCCCCATATGTTGGGGTTGAATCTGGAGATACGGCCGGACAAACAGGACCTGTATTTTGAAGGTGAGCTATGGGTGATACCAGAAGAAGCTGATGGGGGTGTTCAATTCCCATTGTGTCATCTGATCCTTATACCGCAGAATCAGAGCTTTCATCTTCTACCCAACCATCTTGAGTACTCTTACCAACAATCTTGCCTCCATTAGTATTCCTGAGAAATGACTAACTCATGAGGACGGGTGCGAAGGGGGGGAATATTGATTTTCACAGCCCTGGAAGGGTTCCATGAAGCTCAATCCAGCTCTGGCTTCACAACAATCCAGAACGATTGCACACCTCTGTGGTAGGCCCCGATTGTCTTCTGGTTTCTTAGCAGAGAGGTTGACAGATTCAATTGGCTATACGATCAGCCCAGATCTTCTCTTCTTGAAAGGTGTAAGAGCCCTCCTTTTTTTCTCTCTCTCCAACAGATGGACTATCACACCTGAGGCAGTGAAATACAAGAACACCAGCATTACCTCTTTTGAAAAAAAAAGCAAAAAAAAAGCAGGTGTACGTATAAATTATTCATTCAGAATACAGGAAAAGAGGGTGCACCAAGTTAAGACTGGACTCTTTGTCTTAGCCTAATGACTATTCTGTCTCTGGAGTCATTCCTCAGCCTGCAAGTAGTAGGGGCATCACAGGACTGGATGCTCCTTTAAGTGTTTAAAGAACAAGCTTGTCATGGAGGAGACTTGGCTGTAGCTTTGCCTTTCCCCCTTAATTTGGCTTCTCTACCAGGCTCCAACAGGCCCAGCAGCGATCATGTGGCTGCTGCAGCTGCGTTGTACAGGGAAGCTGATTTCAGCCATGCTGTAACGGTATCTGGGAAAGACTTTGGGTCTGTGCGTGAAAGAGACGTTCTCTAGGAAATGATCAGATTTTTAAAAAGGTGTGTGTGTGGGGGGGCATAGTCTGTAACTGTGTAATGGGCAAAGGCAGAGAAAGGGACCCTTCCTAGCATTTCAGGCTGTAAAAGGGATGGCAGGAGATTTGACTTTCAGACTTCCAAGATTCTGTTCAGGTAGCCTTAGCATAAAGTATAGTTAGCTCATCAAGCCACGTTTCCTGCCTATTCAGACTGGGAAGGCAGACACATGCTGGACCTATCAAAAAGATGCCTTGAGCTATTGATGGAGGTGTTGGGAGTGGAAGTCCAATTCAACAAGAGGGACCAGATTGGTGGTATTGCACCTTTGAGCAGGAATAGAGGAAGAAGAACGGGGTGTGCGTGTGTGTGGGATCTCTTATCTATTTTTTTTTTTTTCGTCTTGAAGATGACTCCTGGGATACATTGGGCTTCTTCTCTTGGTGACTAAACTTCTCTGGTGTTGATTTCCCTTTAGGCATCCCTGTGAGAGGAAAAGGAACAAATCCCCCAAACCAGTGGTGGATTTCAATTTTTTTTAATATTGGTTCTGTGGGTGTGGCTTGGTGGGCGTGGAAGGTGAAGGATACTGCAAATTCCCCAGTCAGAGGGGATGTTTGCAGTTTCTCAGAACTACTCAAAATTTACACTACCAGTTCCACAAAACTGATAAGAACCTGCTGAAAACCACCTCTAACCAACCTCAACCCTAACCCTAACCTCTAACCAACCTCAACCCTAACCCTAACCCTAACCCTAACCATAACCCGAAGCCTAACCCTAACCCTAACCCTAACCCTAACCCCAACCCTAACCCTAACCTTAACCCTAACCCTAACCCTAACCCTAACCCAAAGCCTAATACTAAGCCTAACCCTAACCCTAACCTTAACCCCAACCCTAACCCTATTCCTAATGATATCCCTATCCCTATCCCCAACCCTAACTCTAACCAACGCTAATGCT